TGTAGGTTAATATTCAGAAGAGTATTGACTGTTAGGTACTTGGACCCATAGGGTTAGGGGGGATTAAGGAAGATTTAGGGCTTATAAGTCTAGGGTTGAATGGCGTTGTTTTTGTTTTTTTTTGGGACAACAACAATAATAGCAATAACAGTCATAGTATATTGACACATTACATAAACAATCTTAGTAGTAATATCATGTCAACACAACTGGACAGGGCAACATGACTTGCAAAAGGCTGACAAAGTTAGCGAAACCTACATTATCCTGAACGCTCAACCCATACCCCTCTTTCCGGACTGTTTGAAGGCGTCGGTAGGTTTGAGCATCAAAAGGGAACCGCCACCCCAAGGCAGCATGTCCATGTATCAGGCTTCTGAAAACAAAACTCATTCTACTAATGTAGGGTCCTTAATCAGTAGAATAAGTTTTTTTTGTGGGGGTATACTGTACTCAGAGTAAGGAACCTCCCAAAACAGTATTGGTAATGAAGCCCTAAACCCTCTTAGCGTTAACCCTGAGCCCTTTTTTGAACCAACCCTGAGCCCTTAAACCCTAAACCCGAACCCCGCATTTGTTGGTTTTGGAGCTCAGGTCAAGACCCCCTGAGTTTGGAGATACCTTGAACTACCCAAAGGGTCCTTTGCCTAAATCATAGTAGCAATTCCTAGTACAGAAACCCTACATTCTACTATATAGGTACGTAGGACCCTTTGGGCTACCAAAACCTACTTTCTCTTCAACCCGGCAGGGATATTTGCATAATCAAAAGCTAAGGCGCCGTAATCCATGACATTTCTTTCGCTAGACACGTCGAAGGACTTATAAGAAGAACCTACAACAAAAGTAGGTCATGGTAGCTTCAGGTATCTTCTGTGAAGGGCAGCTGAGGCTACTAGATGTCCTACATTAAACCAGCTTTTTGAGAGCGCAGTGGACATCAAAACATTCACGTTTCGGCTTCGTCTCCACAAACTCCACCCAAAAGGCTGATAAATCAGTTTTCTACATTGCATGATATAAATACATGTAAACAAGAAGATGTGTAGATATGTATAAAGAACAAAATGCATATAAAGAACACAATACATATGTATATACACACAGAATAGACATACATACCTATGACATGAGATGTATATACATACATACAATTGACCAACGATCTTCAAGCCAACCAGGTTTAGGGTTCAGGGTTTAGGGTTCAGGGTTTAGGTCTCCGCTGCCTCCAAAATATCCACGGCCTCGGGCCAAGAACAGCTGCAGCAAGCAGGGGCCACAGCCCGGACACCGCCGAAGGCGGCGCATGCCCAGGCCTCTGCTTCAGGAAAGGAAAAGGAGACCCTTATGAATTTTGGCGGTTAGGGTTTAGGGCTTAGGGCTTTGGGTTTAGGGTAAATTTTGCTAGGATCTTCACTCTGATTTACAATCTATACCTTGGCTCGGTGGTTGGGCAACTTGAAATTAAAGCGAGTCAGGGTTGCGAGCCCCGAGCTTCAGATGCAGACAGGAAATCTCTTCTGAAATTTCAGAAGTAGCTGAGTCAGTTTTAAGGTTCGGGGTCTTTGCACGACATTGCTAGGCTTTGGGATGTGCATGTCTTCTTCCTTGGGGTTTCAGGGTTGAGGCCCATTACAGAGAAGTGGCGGTTTGCCTTCATTGTCCCTGTTTTGTATGAAAATACTGCCCTTTGTGGTATCTCGTTTGTGAAAGACCTCGGATACGCGGGATTTTGCGGGGACCTGTCCTGTTCCCATAGAACCATAGATGCAGTTTAGATGCAGGCAAATCCCAGGATGCTGGCGTAGACAACCAAAGGCGCAGCAAACCAGCCGCTCTTTGGGGTTGAGGTCTGCATCGATTGCAGCTCCCAGTGGGCTATGAACGGACAAGCCGTAAGGACCCACAGGCCAACTATTTTCGCCATCCTGGGCTCGGCGGTTTAGGGTTTAGCGTTTAGGGTTTAAGGTTTAGGGTTTAGGGTTTACGAACAATGCTATAGCACTCAGTATTTGGATTTTGTTCTGTCGTTACCACTAACTATTCTACTGTCGTCATTAAGGATATTCTATAACCCAAAGAAACTATTGCGACTATGTTGATGATGCTGCTGTTGCTGTTGCTCTTATCAGTAGTGTTGCTGCTGCCTGCTGCTTTTGATGACGATGATGATGATGATGATGATGATGGTGACGTCGATGTTGCCTCTGTGCTTGCTGTTCATGTTAATCTTGTTCTTGTTGTTGTTGTTGCTGCTGCTGATGTGGTTGCTAACGCTGTTGTTGTCGATGACGTTATTGTTGCTCTCGCTCTTGCGAGCAGTGCTGCTGCTGCTGCTGCTGTTGTTGTTGTTGTTGCTGCTGCTGCGGCGGCTGCTGTTGCTGCTGCTGTGTCTGTGCTTGCTGTTGATGTTGTGTTGCAGCCGCTGTTGTTGCTTCCTTTGCTGCTGGTGTTTGCTCCATATGCCATATTTTTCATAATGCTATGTAGTTGTCCGCGCTACCACTACGTATATATTCCCGTATTGCCGGGCCAAAAGCAGCCCCGACAATTCGGTACCGGGTGCTTGGTTCTAAACAAGGGACATTCGATTACACCCTGCCTCTTTCGCTACGATGCTATCTTAGACTTTAGACAAAGCTTAACACTCTAAAGGCTTTCGCTACGATGGTATCTGCAACTAAACCCTAAACCGTAATCTCCTCAACAATTGTACAGTTTTTGTATACTAGACTATAAACCCCCAAACCCTATTTCAGTTAAGGCTCCTACATCAAGCTCCTCCACAATAGCCAGGCACGTAAGTAAGTCTACTACGATGGCATACCCCCCAAACCCTATTCTAATGCCTGCATTTAACTCCTCAACTATAACCAAGCATGCGCTGATGCTACTATGGTATGCCCCCATACTCCCCAACAATAAGCAAGAGACTGTATCTGAAAACTATGGCATGCCCCCAACACTCAATTCCATTTAAGGCTCCCGTACTCAGCTCCTCAACAACAATCAAGAATGTACCTATACTGCTATGGTATGCCCCGAAACTCTACTCTAATTGAGGGAGGCCCTATATGAAACGCATCAGCAATGACCAAGAAAGTAGTTATGTACACTACCCCCAAGCCTGTTCTAAGCAAGGTTCCTGCATTAACGTCCTCAACAATAACCAAAACAAGCCTACACTACACAGTACTATTATTGTATACACCCAAACCCTGTTAACAGTGACTAGGCTCATCTTCAAGATGAAGCATCGCTCGTCCCGCTGACTTCGGCAGAGGACAACAACGATAGCAATCCGAACCAGGAAAGACATGAACTCGAAAATCCAGAGTGGAATCCAAAGATGGACGTCTTCGCTCATGTAGACCTTATAGTAGAAGCCAGAAAGTTGGAACAATATAATCCTCGTGCCGCTAAGCTATAGTCTAAGGGATCCTAGCGCAACTCATTCCAAACCCATGGCTTGCAAGGCCTCAGCACTACATGTTCGGGCACTCTCTTACCGTGCCCATTGATGGTCAAGAAGCCATATCCACATACGTCGACCATAACGTCTCCAAGTTCAGTGGAACGAGTGCTACGACGGGAAAAGCCATGACTGCATTTCCGGCACCCTCAACATCAATTCCTGCACGGGCAATTTCCCGAAGCGTGGGCGATGACATCCCTGCCTTTAGCAAGACGTGGATTGCATAATCCACTGCCTCCATCCTGTCGCCAATCTCCCCAAGATCCGAGCGCTGTCAGCTGCATCCGAGCACGTTGCATGTGCGATGCTGCCTTGATACCCACGGCGAAGTTGTTCCGCCTCCCATGCTCGAGCTTCAGCATTGACCCGGTCGGCCTCCAGCAGCAAGAAGAAAGACAACGCGGCAAGAATCAGCAAGCGCTGCTCGACACAGAGGATGATACCCGCAATGCGAGACGGACCCTGCGCACCGTCGAAGTTGACCGTCGTCCATTCCAGGAGCACAATGCCACAAGTGAAAGCACCCAGCCGGTTTAGCAGCATGCGGCTTCTGTAGTGGTTGATATTTATGCTGATGAATGCAGAGGTTGTTATGGCATACAGAGGGATGGGGTGGAGCTCGCATCGCCGGAGAAGAAGAAACGCGCCGCAGAGCATGCCAGTCAGTCCTGTGAACAAGGAAACTGAAGGTACAAAAACACATTATTCCAAAAGGCGTGCTTTTCTTTGCGGCCGGTCCTACTAGTGCGGCTGAGATAAGAGCGGCACCGATATGGTTGCTGTAAGAAGGTCGGGCAATGAAGATCACCTTGCCCTCCTCATGCGCGATATAGGCTTCGTATCCGCACCAAAGCCTGGGGAAAGGGCATGCTACAGCAACCAGGAAAACGCACAGTTCGAATCATCTCTTTCAAGAACTACCGGTGCCTGGTGTAGATGCTACAGTGGCGGTTGGGCACCACCAGGACGCATGAAGAGGCCTTGAGTGCTTGTGCGAAGGGCGACCTGCTCGGAGATTGCAAAAACGATGAAATGTCCAAGTTCTGCGGGTTGGCCAGCATGCAGCACCAGACGTGTCGTGAACCTGCGGGCCAGGAATGCAAGACCTTGGACAGAAACTCGAACACGCCCTCCTGCCAGGCATGGCTGATGAAGACATCGCAATCCAAACCTTCCGGATGGCGCATGAGTGCCCAACTTACCTTGCCGGCTTCATCCGTCACCGGCATGATGTATTGCTTGTTCACCGTGTAGATGTTCGGCCCGTATAGATCGTCTGAAGGCACAAAACGGTCAGTGTTATCAAGAGGGCGTATCTCCCCGCGCTGGATGGCACGCCAAACCTCGTGCCGTAAATATATCAGATCTGACCGCGTGACACACCAACGGTCGGGAGTAACGGCCTCATGCAAAGCAAGAGCTTCCGGGGTGGTGTACCTCGATGCTGTCGCAGCCCTCTTCGACGTACGACGTTGGAAGGCGTTCTTAATCATTGCACGTCTCTGACGTCTCTTCTTAAAAGGCAAGCAACATGCAAATTGAGAGGCCTGTCTCAAGGCACGCTCTGAGCTTGTAGTCATGTAATATTGTCCTGCCTAACTATATCTATCTGGCTCTATGTGATGCGCTTGCTGTTGACTGAGTATTCCCGTCATGCAATTAGGCTAGCTTCAGCTGTCAAACTGCAGCACTGGTCATGAACGACTCCGGAACTTGAGACTTACAAAATCCTCGCACTGTGTACTCCAAATAAAGGTCAACCGATGCGATTTGCCAGAACCAGCTGCGCTGCAGGGCGAGAGTCGGTCGGGCGACAAGAAAGGCACCATACGCAAATTACACAGGCGTCTATAATGTACCATATTGCGTTTGTAGGAACCTCCTTGAAGGCCGCTGTATACTGCGACATGGACCTTGAGGGGTTGTTTTACTTACAGCGGGTCGGAAAAAGGAAGTTGCCCCCATGCCACAACTCTTGAAACTTCGGGATTTCATATCATGGGCTAAGCCCTGGGGCCCTCCAAAGGGACCTGATACCCTAAGCCAAACCGTGAGGTCTGAACCCTGAGCTCTAAACCCTACCTGGACCCGAAAAGTATGTAGAATAATAGCCTTTTATGGGTTTTGGGCCATTATTTTTACCTACTTTTGGGGGTTTAGGTATATATAAGTCCGAAACCCCCAACCCGAAGCGCCCCAGCAAATCACAAAAGACATGTATGCCCCGAACTCGGACATCCATGCAGCTGCATCGTGGCGTTGGGCGGGCCCTCAATCTCTTTTAAGCACCCTATAGGATTTGTAGGTTTTACGTAGGCTTTAGGGTTTCGGGTTTAGGAGGTCTGAGGGTGTAGCCTTCCTTCGTCTTGCCTTTCGGGGCTTACCTGGGACTCTAATTACCTACAGTTTTATGGGTTCTACCTACTAATTGAGGGGTCATGGCTGCTAAACTGTAGGTAAAGAGAGTTACAGGTAGAGTCTGCAGGAGGAGTCCCGAACTCCCTACATCCGATGCGGCATTTCTTCTTTATGTTGCCTGCAAAGCCTACAAAAACCGGTCGAAACCCGAAACACCCCAAGAACTACAAAGAAGACGGTTTCATGGGCAGGACCTTACACGCAGCAGTGGAGTGCGAAGAGCCCTAGAATGGCTGCCTGGGGAAAATCTGCTCCGCGGCGGAGGCAAAGCGCCGTGCAAGGTCTAAACGGACTGCCAGGTCCGAGTCAGAGTGCTGCCTCCAAGGGCTTTCTTAAAGTTTTCAGTTATAAGGTGGTAAGGAATGCCGACTTTCTATGCTAATCGGTTTTCTAGGGTTTTGGGGTCTAATGGGGTCTCTTGGGCTTTCACTGCTGCCTTCGTTTGATTTTAGGAATGCTTAGAGGCTTTGGGGCTGTCTTTGCGGGTCTTGGAGTTAAGTTTGCTGCCAGCGTGGGGGGGGGGGGGGGGGGGNNAGGCTCTTAGGGTTTTAGGGCTTAGGGCGTCGGGTGTCCCAGGGTGTGAACGTTACGAAAAGATTCCAGATGACTCAGTAGATTCAGCTTTAGTGAGCAGGTGCATACTGAGCAGCAACCCCTTCTAGGATACATGTCATACATACCCTGCGTACCTACATTTCATGCCTATACTTACCTACATACCTATACCTACCATATATTGGGAAATACACCCCGCTCGCCAAATCATGACCCTTCAAGCAGATTGTTGTTTGTTGTGTAAACTGGGCAGTAAGTCATGAGCACATCAGATGTTTCCGCTCCAAGCAATCTGGTGGCGGTTTGGATTTCGGGACTTCCGGTACGTTAGCGCGGCTTTTGATGGGTTGGAGAGTTAAGTTTTCGACTTTTTAGCATCGCGCGGTCTGTGTGTGTGGTTGACAAACGGTTCTGCGAATGCTAATGGCTCCGGACAAGGGCGAAAAACGCCCTTGTCCTTCAGGATCTAAAAGAGCAGGTCCTGGCGGGGCCCAGTGCTTGCAGATTCTTGGTCGGCATCGTGTGCCTGTAGAGTCTCACCAGCAACTCCTCCTTCTGCAACACCTCTGCGGTCCTTGCAGGGTCAAGTGCGTCAAGTGCAGCTTGTGACGGGCCTTCTATTCTAAAGTGTCCTGGTTCAGAACTCCTTTCGTGGCTTAGTGCCACGCAACCTCGATGCGGGAATGCACTCGGGGTCCTTTCAAAACCACTTTCGACCTATGCGAGAAACTTATCAGACCCTACCAGACATACACATGACGCGATCAAGTTCAAATGATGCCAGCCATTACTGCAATTCAGGCCTGAGGGTTTTGCGAAGTTATGGCTTTGAGAATGTACGGACATGCTGTGTGACATGAATCTATGAGTGTGTGCTTCATCGACATATATATATATAACAACATCAACCCACCAGAACAGCGGGAAAAAAAAAAACATTAAGAAGGCTTGTGGGTTTGGAGCAATCTGACGTTTGAGGCACCTCACCTCTCCAGATTCAGCAGAACACAGGCTCTGAACCCTGCACGCTTATCCTAAACTGAGCCCTAAAACCCCACCTTGGCTATGCGCACCGTTGCGCGGTATCACTCCCTAGCGGTCGCTCTACCAAGAAACCATAATGTACACTCACATGCAACCCCTTTCCTCTCCACCGACCACGTGCAGGGGGAGGGTGCCGTGCAGTCGGACACCACGTCGCGGCCAGGGCCTGGGTTGCTTTGTGGTTTAAGGCTTAATATACGGGCCTTGATAATCACCTACATGCCATTAATCTTAGAGGGCTCGTTGCTCTGAATATAATGTACTGTACCCCAAAACCCTCTTCTGGTTATTCAGGCCCCTGCATTAAGGGTTTTGGGGTAAGTAGGGATTGGGCGGTGCCGGGCCGGTTTGGGGGTTGGGATTTCGGGGTTTGGGGTTTAGTCTTGGGGTCTTAGGAGGTTGGAGTTGGAGATGGATTTGATGAAGGCTTCAGGCTCTAAGAGGTTTAGGGTTTAGGGGAACCTCACCCGGACATGGATTCCTTCATCCCCGGGGCCAGGATCCTCCACAAACGGGAACTGGACAGAAAACTTCATGCTTTGGTCTCTATGTGGTTGCGGCGCTCACACTCGGACGAGCCAGGCGAGGTTGTTGGTGAGGGTTTTGGGGCCTAGGCATTGCTGCAAGGCCTTAAACCTGAAGAACACCCAGCTGCGCCTCCGCCTTCTCTGAATGGCAGAACCCGACCTACAGATTTCCGAACCCCGGCACAAAGTTTTGGGTTCAACGCCCTCTAATAAGTAGTGACTCTAAACCGTAAAGGCAAACTGTAAACCGATTCTGAGATATTGATCCTCAGTTTCCCGCAAAGAAACCACAACCTAAACAGTCAGGCCTAATGCGTCCACTGTCCTCAATCTTGTCATTCTTCCCATAGTGTGGCCTCTGATACGACGACGACTACGACTATTACCTTCATGAATTACAAAAAACCCTGTTGTCACTGTCATTCCTGAACAGACTCTGAACCCTAAACACGAAACGTCAAACACTAAACCCAATTGCTACTCTGAGGCATGATTACTGTTGTTCGATTCCGAAAGCCCATGGCCCCTTGACTAGCGAATATACCTCAAACCACAAGAGACTTACGTAGCACTACGAGCTCAGCTGATGGTGTACCTCATTCAAGGAACCTTAGGCCCTTAAGCATAACCTACCAGGACCCTCCAAGTACTCTCAAATCGGGGTAAAGGGTCCCAAATTAAGGGTATTTAGGGTCTACCTTCTAGAAGGTAGATGGAGGGTCTAGGTATACAGCCCTTGAAAATCCCGAGTTTCCTGAATGAAGGGCCCCATGAGGTCTCTCTGGCCTCCGGCATCGGACGCCAACCGTCGATCCCCATCCTTGTACTACGTGCCGGTTTAGACAGGCGTTTTAGTGATTAGGGTAAGGATTCTAGGACCGGTTTAGGGACAGGGGGTCGAGGATTTGGGTTTAGGGTTTCAGGTTTACTAAGAATTGAGGATGGTTTATCGATTGTTGTTTAGGGTGGGGCTTGACATCAAGGGCCGCAGTAAAAGGGTTTAAGGGTTTGGTAGTTGAACCTCTAGCGGATTCCACGGTTATTGACAAACCAGCAAAAAACGTAGGCCTAAGCTGTAAGGGATGCAAAGCCCTCAGCGTCCATGTGCCCATATGGTACCCGCAACCCTTGAAGCCCTAAGCCTTATAAACCCTACTAAACCCTCAACCTTTATCATCCCTCAGTATGAACACTTATGAACACCCTCAAAGGAAACCCCTCAAGAAGGGGAGCTTTACACCCCAAAACCCTAAACTCCAAAAGCCGTAAGGGAAACCTCTCAGCCTACGGTTGAAACCATGGGCCCCTAGTATGGGCCCTTAACCCTGGGATCCTGATACACCTGCTCTAAAAACCCCATATGCACCTTTAAGGGTCCCGAAAAATGCCTATAAGGGTCCAATTAGGGGCCCATACGTCTAACCTTACCCATAGGCTCCATAGTAGTTCCTTTTTGGGGATTACCTTATAGGATCCTAAATATGAACCACAAAAACGAACTACTATGGAGCCTATGGGTAGACACTAAAAAGGGGAGCTGTAAGGTTTTAACCCCCAAAGCCCCTAAACCCTTAAAGGAAACCCCCAAAGCCCTATCCCCTTAAAGGAAACCCCCAAAGCTCTAACCCCTTAAAGGAAACCCCCAAAGCCCTAAACCCTTAAAGGAAACCCCCAAAGCCCTAACCCCTTAAAGGAAACCCCCAAAGCCCTAACCCCTTAAAGGAAATCCCAAAGGAAACCCTAAAGAGGGGAGCTGTAGGGTTATGGAACAGTGCCTGGCAGCAGCGGAGGCGACGGCAGGAGTCGTAGGGTTCAAGGCAGCGCTCGCAGCCGCAGAGAAAAGCCTCTTCTATAGGTGCTTTACTGAGTATGAAATGTTATATAAAGATAGATATAGATATAGATATAGATATAGATATAGATATAGATATAGATATAGATATAGATAC